AACCACAGCAACAGAACTAGCCCCATGTCTACCCATTAGAGAGACCTCCACCCAGCTTCAGAAAGACTCTTATCATAAAGGGTGAGCAGCCCCACGGAAAGGCCCATTGAAGAAGGTGCTAGATAGAGGCCAGCTGTGATGAGTGTCATGCTCCTCACAGCCACCCCCCAGGAACCTTGAGGTGAGCCCTGATGTGCCCGGGGCAGGGGGTGGGGGGATGAAAAGGAGGTGTGCCAGCACACAGTAGGGTGGCTTCCCATCTCCAAAAAGGTTACAAGGGAGAGTCTGTGACTCTTAGCTTGCTGCAGATCTCAAACTTCTAGAACAGCTTGTTAAACAGAAGTAAGATGTTAGAAAGGGAAGCAGCGATCACCAGAACCAGAACCGGCTATGTGGACAGCGAGGACTCCAGTCAAGCCCCTACCCCCCTTCCTTGTTTGGATGGGAGGGTCCCTGGGCCGGGACTTGGGTCAGAAGAGTGCTACTGATGTTGAAGACCCAGATTTGCACAAATTCACCTTAAACGGACTTGCCCATGATGACTGTTGATTCACAGGGACCTGGGGACCAGTACTGACCTACAAGATGACTCAGTGACAGGCCGTGGGCTCTGTGTGGCCCTGCTCTGCCTGACAAGTTGGTTGGAAACTGATAAAGGACTAGTCATAGCTTCAGATGACCAAACTAGGCCAGGCCAGAACAACCAAGAAGGAATTTAGCATCGGCAAATGTAAAGCTCTGCAGTTGAGTGACCAAGGTCACTCAGCATGAACACAAAGGAGACAACTGTTTCCGAGCTGCTCACGGAGAGAAGTTCTGGGCACTCTGCAGGCTGTGGACTCCATACACGTCTACTGGGTGAGAGGGCTGCTCAGGGCACGAGTGCAACCGTTGATGAGTGTGCCCCCCAGACCCCACAGATGCCCTTGGTTTCTGTGCACACCTCCCCTGGGATAAGGGGCCTACAACGCCATGCAGAGACCTTCCCCAGGGCTCCTGGAGCCTCATAGCCTGCCTGCCACAGCCAGGATGCCTGGAACTACCCACACACATGCACAGACCCCTGGCCCCCATGGCAGGCATGCCCCAGGTCTCCCCTACGGGACCAAGGCCAGGACTTTACCTGAAATCACACCCTTCTTGACTTGCACTCCCCACTCCCTTTTCCTTAGTCAATCCAGAATCCTCATCCTAGCATGAGCTTCTGGGAGCCCAGCCCCAGACTAGCCTCCTCAGCATGGCTCCAGGAACCACAATTTCAGAAAGCCAAGGCCAGAGTACATGTGACCTAAGCAGGGTATGAAGCACAGGGTAAAGGACCTTGAAGGAGGCTCTATATGAGGAATGGCCAAGATGGGATGTGGACCTTGATCAGAGCCAAGTTGGCCAGGCAAGAGCTAGCCCCTGACTGTGGCCATGGAGGTAGGCCAAAGGAACACTGGCACACGTGGTGAATGCCAGCTCGGTGCCAAGCGCTTTACGTGGGTTATTCCATGTAATCCTCAGAGCAAGCCAAAGACGGAGGCACAATTATCATATCATCGTGAGGAAGTCGAGGAACAGTGAGGTCAGTAACTTGCCCAACATGGCTACAGGTGAGATCCGGGATTCAAACTCAAATTTTAGACCACTAAACTGTAGTGCCCACCCTCCCCCACAATGCCCAAAGTGCCAGGATCTGCACTGGGAAGGTCCTTTGCACCTGTCAAATAAGAATCCAACACTTCTGGGGACAGAGACCCAATCCAGCTGACACAGGAGGTGATGTCACAGTGGGACAGGCCCATTCTCTGCTTTTCTAGCCTCACCCCGTATACACACCGTGACCTCAGGCGGGTAGTAGCCTATACTCTGGGAGCAACGCCTTCTCCCTTAGGGTGGACTAGTGATTCCCTGTGAAGGTATCAGCAGCCTGGGGCTTGACAAAAGATGCCTGCTCTGTGACCTGGCCACGCCCAGAGGTGATAAGCTCCTGGAAGCCGGGCTTCAGCTGTTGGGGGCCCGGAAGGCTGCCAGAAAGCAGAGAACAGTGGACAGAAGGGAGGAGTCCCTGGAGAAGAAAGAGGGGGGCTGCTGCCTGGACACGGAAGCTCAGAATCTAGGGCGGATGTTCTGAAGGACAAAATCTGTCAGAAAAAAACAAGACCAGCCAGGACCATGGACCCTTCCCTAGCAAAGCTCTGACCTCCAATACTTTATTCTAAATTCAAAACAAAACAAATGTACAAATAATGAAATCCATCACCTTCCAGAGCAGGGCCTGAAGGGGACCCAGAAAGTCTGGTCAGAAATCTGGAATCTGAAGGGAGATCTGTAAACTAAGCTGGTGGCCATGTCTTGAGACCCTAAACCACTGCTGGTCAGGCCCAGCCAGGGAGGGGCCACAGCAAGGGGATGGGGGCCGGGGTTCGTTCTCCAGGTCAAACTCAGATTTAAGCTGCAGCCAGTCCAGGTGGACCCACTGGCGAGGCTGTGCAGTCTGGCTAGTGGGGCCACGGCCAGGGCAGCAAGCTTAACCAGGAAGTTACGATGGGGTCCCCAGCCATGCACAGCCCCAAGGCTGGACACAGGCCAGACTGGATTCCAGCACCACCTTGCAAACATTTATCTTGGTCACGATGAGTTGGGTGGAAGGACTGGCTAGGCCTTCCCACTTGGGGCCCAGCCCAGCCTGCCATCCTGGCCCACCAGGTACAGCCAGGAAGGAGTACTGATTGGCACACAGCAGCCAAACAGAGAATGAACTCAAGGGAATTTGCATGTGACAGAGAAAGTCTCTAAGAGTTTCAGCCAAATATCCTGGCATGTGGCCCTTCACCTGCCTCTCCTTGTCCCAGGTAGTGGCCTCACCTCCTTTTGCTCAAACTGGAAACCAGCCTCCTAAAACTCCTCCTCCTTTCTGAAGCCACTGCAGGCCCTGTGTGCACCCGTGTATGCACATGTGTGTGCATGTATGTGCATGAATGCCCAACCCCCAGCTCCCTTTCCATCTCCCCGACAGGCCCCTCCTTGGCTCGCACACCTATATCCCCCTGGGCCCCAGCCTCCCACCTCTCCCACACTAATCTCTCCAATGGCAGCCAAAGGGATGTTTCCAAAATGAAATCTGACCCCATCACCCTTTCCACAGCTCCCCGAAGTCTGCTTCCTTAGTCACACAGGGATCCTCACCACGGGGACCCCTTGCCAGCCTCCCAACCCAACAAACACCCCAATCCAACGTGCATTGCGGTGACTCACCACGGTGCAGGCAGGACAGGGGCCTCCATGCCTCTGACCAGGCTGTCCTGTCTGCCTGGTACGCCCCTTCCCACTGCCACCTGTCTAGCCTCACTGTGTCAAGACCCCGCTCAGTTGTGGCCTTGTGCACTGGTGCCCTCCCCACTCCGTTTCATCACCTGTCACCTCATGGCCCCACAGCTGGGGCTCCCAGAGCCCTGGTGCAGCGCCAGGCACATGGGCAGCCTGGTACGCACGTGTCATCGCCCAGAGTGTGATGGGCCTGCCTCGCAGAACACCCAGAGGCACAGACGCGCTGCGCAGTAGCCAGAGCCTACGCGTGCGTGAAAACTTGCTTGTGCACATTTTCACCGCTCACCACGCCAAACCCCTCTGCCCCAGCCCCACCCTCAGAAGCAGTTCTGATGTGCTGTCATTTTTTTTTTAAGCAGAGTGGGAAGGGTGCGTTTGGGGGTAAGAAAGCCCCACCTCAGGGCCATGGGAGGCATTCAGACCTCATGCATGCCTTCCTCACCTTGTTCCTTTGGCCCGTTAGAATGCCAGCCCTGCTTTCCAACTCAACCCGCTTTTGGAGGAGTCATTTCCACCACAGTGAGTACAGGGTCCTTGAGGTAGGGAAAGCTAAGCCAGCTGCCAGGTCCCGGGTTCCTAAGTGCATGAGGCCCAGGAACAGGGTCAGGTCACGGGCAGGGCTGCACATGGGCCCTTACTCCACCCTCCCAAGCCAGGGGACCCTGAGCAGCACACTGACCTGGCTCCCTCTTCAGGGCAGGCTGGCAGATTGTCCCAGGAGCTTAGGATCTTCAGCGCTAAGCCCCAGGATGAGAACACAGGCCCACTCCCAAACTCCACAGGTCTTGGGAGGTCCTTGGGCAATGAAGCCAGGCTGTGCCAAGCCTGTGCCCTGGGTTCCTCACCGCATGAGCCCAGCCCCCTGTTCCTGTCCCACGTCAGCTCACATGGGCAGGGCTGGGAGGACAGGCTCACAGGCCTCCCAGCTCCCCACGGCCTCACAGCTCTGGCCATTTCCCACCAGGTGAAAAACCCCACCCCAGGCTCCTTCCCTCCTCCTATCCATTTCTGCCTTCTCTCCTTCCAAGAACCACACTGGCCAGGAATAAGTCCTTAAGCCAAAGGAATGAGGTGATAATGGTGTCGTTTCAGGCACTGCAACGTATTTGGGGACAAGTGGCCACGTTTTCTCCCCTTCCTGAGGCCAGCCCCTGACCCGATGACCAACAAGGAGGGCTGGCTCTTAGCAGCAGCCCCAGGCCCTTCTGGGATGCCCGGTGCCCTGGTACGGATGTAGACCCCGCCTCCTCAACCCTGTCAGCTCAGTGAGGGTGCAGACAGCCCATCTCATTCCCCAAGGATTCCACAGAACCTAGCACAGGATACAGACTCAATAAATCCTTCTGGTTCATGACTACACTGCACTGACCACCAATGTGCTGCGGGAAAGCAGCCCAGGCTTCAGCCAGCCCTGGCTCGGAAACTCAGCCCACCACCTCCAGCAGTCCAACGGGCATGTCAGCCATGGCCTTGCCAAATGCCTGTGGTTTCACCCATAAATCAGGGCAAAGAGGCAAAGACTCAACAAGGGAAGGTGACAAGCACAGTGTGCGGCACATAGGAGGTCTTAAACAGTGTCGGTGGCCATCCCCAAAGACCCAGCCAGTCCCTGTGTCACGTGGGGCCCCAACTTTCATGTCAGGAATTGGTTGTATCTGAGCCCTGCTTTAAAATACAGCCACCAAGAGTCCCAGGGGAAATCACGGCAGAGTTCTGAGGAGACACTAAACAGAACATCGAGAATTTTTACAGAAAAATCAGGATCTCCCTTATGCACAGTGCTGAAAGTCTGTCCCAAAGTTCAGAGCCTGGATGTGCAGGGATGTGGCTCTCAGGAATGAAGCCCTTAAAAACCAGCCCAGCTGCAAGGAGCAGGAAGTCCCCAGGCTGCAGTCCTGTGCCCTGCGGTCAGCCAACAGCAGAGACACATCCACGGCTGCCAGGAGGTCCAAGGAGCCTGGGGCCCCCACTGTCCCTGGCCTGGGGCTGAGTCCACGGGCCCAGGATAGCTCTGAGGGCCACAGCTCCTCACTCGGGAGCTGCACTGGAGCAGCCGCAGCAGCTGGGGCGCCTCAAGGACTGCATGACAGCACGCAGAGGCCCCCTCCGGCCCTCCGCAGACAGGCTGTCCTCGCTGGTGGATGCCCGCTGCAGCTGCTCAAACTGCATCTCCAGATGCTTCTGGATGGCCACGCCAAGTACCTCAGGGTCCACTGCAGCTCCATACACCTCCCAGGTCATGCCCTCAGCATCCCATCGCACATCCCGCACAGGGGATGGTGCCTCCTCCAGGTCAGACCCCAGAGTTACCTCCGGGAATGTGTGCAAGGCCACGGGGGCTTCCAGGGGTGGGCTGGTGGCCACAGCCTTGCAAACCGCCATGGGGGCTGCCTGTACACCAGCATCCTGGGCTGACAGAGAGGATGCCAACACAGGGGCCAAGTCACTGGCTGAGGTCATGGTCCATACATCCTTGGTCCTGGTACCAGGCTCCGTGACCAACCTGGTGGGACCCCAATGGTGGGCACAGCAGTGGGAATGCCCAGGGAGCCCCCCAGGCAACCTGCACTGGAACCTCACCCCATGCTGAGCCTGCAGCCCAGACTCACTTACCGATGCCACTAGTTTGGGAAAGGTCAGGATCCCCGGGGCTGGCAGGGCATGACAGCAGCCACCGGTCCCCACCTCTCTCATATTGCAGAGGAGAGTTGCTGGGGACAGGGCATGGCAGGAGGTCGTGGCTGGCTGCCCAGTGGCTTTGGGCCCAGCCTGGGGGCTGCTGCTGTGGGTGGTTGTCCCTCCCAGGTCTAGTGGCGTCATCCACACCTGACTGTCTCCCAGTGTCCAGGCTGAGTTCAAAGTCCCTTCCTCTGGAGCCAGGTCCCTCTCTAGGCCTGCAGGGGCCCAGCCTCCCTGGCCAGAAGTACTACTGGGCTGCAGCTGAGCCCTGTGGACCGGTGAGCTGCCAAGGGCCGAGCAGCTGAGGCTGGCTTTATGGGCACCACTGTGGCCCCGGGTCTGGGTGCTGCGCACCAGGTCCGAGTGGCTCCTCTGCATGGCAGCAGCACCGGGGGCCCTCAGGCGACCCAGGTCACCACCACCCACGGTAGACACATTGCCCACAGTGCTGCTCCGCCAGTGGCCCACAGCACGGGGCCGGGGCCGGGGGCTGGAGGCCTGCGTCTGCTCCGTGCTCTCAGCGTGGTGCTCCTCTTCCTCCGGGACCTGCGGACTGGCGCTGGCCTCGCCTGGCTGGGCCTGCCATACAGTGCTGCTGGCGCTCTTGCGGAGCTCTGGTCTCTGCCCCTGGCCTTCCAACAGACTGGAAGAGCTCCGGGACAGGGGCTGCGGGCAGGGACTCTGGGGTGGCCGGGCACCCTGGCCAGGGCGGCTGGTGCTCATGATGCCTGCAGGAGAGAGAGGGAGGGAAGGGAGTTGAGTAGACTCCGCTCTGGGCTCACACGGTACAAGGCACACAGCAGGGCATAGCTTCAGCGCTAGCCTGGATGATGGCTCGGAGCCAGGAGCCAAACAGTGACAGGACACCAGACACTCCAAATCAAGATTATCACACATCATACACAATATGACACTGCAAATATCTAATAACCGGTACCAAGTGATTAGAACCAGCCCTAGGGTAGGGTCCTAGATTATGTGGAGGGAGGAGAATCCAGGGGAGAGGCCAAGGCTGCCAGGACACTGGGGGCGGGCGCTTTGGGACAATAACTCTTAGTCAACCAGCACAGGAGTATCGCAGTATTTTAATAACCAGTAAAGCTTGACTGGCAAATACTAGCTGGGTTCCTCCCAGAACTGTCCGTATCCATCTTGCTTTGGACTGGGGCCTCCCAGGTACAGAGTTGTCGTTCAAAAGAGGTTTGTGAGATAAATGAACAATGAATAGAGGGCACACAGAGGACACGCCCTGGGTTCTCCCCTGGCCCCCTCCCCACCCTCTCAGGCCTAGCCTGGTTGGGCGATCATGTCTCTGGGACTCAGTCTTGGCAGCTGTGAAGGGGAAGGGGTTTTCTGACTCCCTTGTCTGGCTCCAGGGTAGGGAGAGACCCCACGCACCAGCCCTTTACACACAGGACACTTGGCAAATGCTCACTCATTCCACAGCCATCTTCAGAGCACACAATGCATGCCTGGCCCTGGAGTTAGGGGACATGGAACTAAGATCCTGTGCCTCCAAGAATGTGGTCTAATATCACCAATCGGAAACGCCCTCCATCAAATTTAAATGCCCTCTTGCCAAGTGTGCTTGCACCCACCTTGCCTCCCTCCTTCCCTGCCTTTCCTGTCTCTTCCCAGCCACACGGACCCCTCTGGACCTGCTCACTGACTCTGGCCCTTCAACATCAGCACCTCCTCCCAGAGAAGCTCTCCCAGGCTGGGCCGGCTCCATCTCTGGTTGAGCACTGTCTCGCCTGGATGCAATAACCTGGCCACCCCACCAATCCGAAGCTGTCAAAGCAGGCCTGCGCCCTGTCCCCCTCTATCTGTCCAGCACCTAGCACTGCCCTGGCACACAGCTGGCCCTCAGAGAATGTCTGCCACGTGCCTGGCCGAGAGAACAAGAGAATATAAGAGTAAACCCACAGAGGAAAGTGCTGAGCACCAAAAACGGGGTCTGAGAAAGGGCATTTCCAGGAGAGCTCACTTTGTGTGACGGATCAGGAAAGGCCTCCTGGAGGTCGGGCCTGGAGAGAGAGGAAGGAGAGGTGCCGGGAGAGGAGGAACAGGATGAGCAGAAGGCAGGAGGCACATGAGGGGAGCAGGGGGCTGAAGGCCGGGCAGGGCCCCAGGGGGAGGAAGTGGGGTCAGGGCATGTGGGCCAGCCTGGCCCTGGCTGAAGCTGTGAATGAGGAATATCTCCCAGAGACTCCCTGCCAGGCAGGACCAGCTGCAGAAACAGGGTGGGGGAAGAAGCAACAGCCGCAGTTTGGGCAATCCCGGTCCTGCCCTCCCACCCCCGGGGCTGATAAGAACCGCCAGGAAACAAGCCACCTTGACCAGGGGAGCAAGGCCACCTGAAAGGGAATTCGGAAAGGGCTCTTGGAAACTCCGTTTCTGTATAATGACAAACTTCTTCTGCCCCAGCATTCAGGAGACAGCTGCTGGCTATTCAAGCCAACAGTGAGGATGCTTCTGGAGCTGCAGTCCCCTGAGAGCTCGAGGCCTGCTGTGGAGTCCAGTTCAGCACAGCTTCTGGGCCAATGGAAAGATCTGCACTGTCCGATTAGATCAGCACTGGCCACATGTGGCTACTGAGCACCTGACAGACGGCAAGTGTGACTGAGAAACTGGCTTTCTAATTTTACTTAAATTGAAGCAATTTAAATGGAAATGGCCACATGTGCCTAATGACTACCATACTGGACCGTGCAGCTCTAGACACAGCTCCTGCCTGGACAGGGGTGTCCCATCCCTGCTGCTCCTTGGGGCTGAAGCCAGACTGGTCCCTGGAACAGCCAAGAAAAGGATGAGTAGCCAAGAGAGGACTAGAACCCAGTCCCTATTCTCAAGGAGCTCTAAGATGGATGTATAAAGGGCAACAAAGCCATTAACCATCACAGTGATGATAATAACAGCTCCCAGTACCTACTCACCTTGTGCCAGGCATGTGCCACATCCTTTGACACACTGTCTCATTTAAGTGTCAGAGCAGGCTCATGAGATGCATCAACCCCATTCTACAGATGAAGAGGCCAAAGCTTAGAGAGGTTTACTGACTTGCCCATAGGCACAGTGAGTGCTAAGTCAGGAAGCAAACCCAGGAGTGCTTGAGGTTCTCTGTGCCCACTCTGAGCACTGTGCAGACCTGCACTGTGGCCATCTTTTTACTTGTCTGTTGCCCTGACTCAGCTGAAGCCCCAGGACCCAACACAGCATCTGGCACTTGCAGTGGCTTCCATGACATGCCAGTGGGACTGGCTGAGTCCCGACTCAGTCCATGACTGAATGAGTGGGAACAAAGCCTGGACCCCCACCCACCTGGAGTCAGGAGAGCAGGGGATATACCTGCTAGCTGGGAAAGCTGTGGTTACCAGCAGCTCCAGGCAGGCGACAAGCACCCAGCTACAGGTCCAAGAACACCAAGAAAGCTCTATCTGGACAGCCTACACAGCCGCTGGCTGAACCCCACCTACCCCAAACCCTCCTAGGGAGCAGGGCCATAAAGAGCCAGGCCAGGCCCTGCCCCCTGCCCTGAGGAAACAGGTGGGATGAGGCTGGGGGTGCCCTCAGACCCCCCCGCAGGGGCTAGTGAGAAGCCACCAGTGACAAGGGTCCCACTGTCCCTGCCTCACCAGATGGCTGTCCAGTGACCAGGACTAGCCATGACCCAGAGAGAACAGTGATCACAGAGACCCCAGTTGGGTGGGTATCTGTGGCTTCCCCTCCTCACCTCACCTCCACAAGTGGCAGGTGACAAATCTGAGGCCCAGAGCAGCTCAGAAATTTCAGAGAGCCCACAGCTGAACCCCAACAGGATATTTCTCCTACCATCTGGCCTTCCCAGCTCTGAAGAAGGGAAGTACTCTGAGGAACGCCACTCAAGTCATCCCAGGGAAAGGAGGTTTCCCACACCCCCTATCACTAAGAACAGGGGCCTCCAGGGAGTGAGGGGAGCTGACCAAATGACCTTGGGAGTTGTGAGTAAGCAGGAGGGACAGGGGTCTGCTTCTAACGCTGACTCTTCCCCTTCCTGTGAAAGCACCCGCAGGTGCACACCTCCCTCCCTGAGCCTCAGTTCCCCAGTCTACAGAACGGAAGTAAGTCTCCACTGCAAGGTTGCTGTGAATCCTAATATGATGGAACAGCAATTGCTAATAATAACCTTCTCTTTCCTCCTCCCATCAGGAGTGGCCTGTGCTCAAGGTATCACAGAGACTAGTACTGGTGGACAGAAAGGCCTTTTTAGGAAGCCACTGAGACACCCAACAGGTTAGCCCAGTCTTGCTTCCCAACCCTTCCTGTCTTCGTCTCATCCTAGAACCCAGTCACCACCCGTGTCCCCAGGTCTCCATCACCATACGAAGCTTCCCAAGCCTTACTTTGGGAGGATACACATGCACATGCTTACACATGCGTGCACGCAGACACACACATATGGAAACACACAAGTGTGGAGTCTGCCTTCCAGCTGGCTTGAGTGGCATGCCCACCTGCCTTACAAATCATCTAAAAGGCTCTGGGTTCACCCCAAAGAGACCCTAGGAAGATGTTTTAGCACCAGATAAATGACAGGTACATGGAGGTAGCCAAGACCCCTGGTGTTCTTTGACACCTTATTGTTCTCTCTCCTGCCCCATTTGATGCCAAAGTTGCAATGTGGCCGTGCCTTGTGGCCAATACAGGACTCTCCTGGTGCCTCAGTTCTGCTGGTCAGTAAATGGAAGAACAGCCAGTTTCACATGCAGCAATCAACCAATGTTATTTTGAGTAAAACCTCCCAGTTCTGCAGAAACTTTCAAACTGGCCCAACCAAAGAAACTGTTAGGTTGACTTGGTCAGAGATTCTAGCTCCCACCATATCACCCAGGCCTTTTAGGGTGTGCCCAGGGGGACCACCAAAGCCACTGCAAGCAGGCCTTGTCTCAGACCACACTGTGGCATCCATATACATCTCTTGTTAAGCGACAGGCATTTGGATGATGACTTCTGCTTCCAGCAAAACCAAAACCGGAAAAGCAAATCCAGGTGGTCAGGAAGGGAAACGGCTCCAATGTTAAAATATGGACTTTAACCCTCAGGGACCAGGTAGGGCACCACACAAAATCCTCATTGGATAGTGGGGGCATGGCAACCTCCAGCAGGTGGTCTGGTCCATCCCAGCGGCAAAAGGGGGCCTGACGGGACCACTCAAGGCCAAAGTTGGGCAATGCAGCAAGAAGCATTCCTGAGCTACCAAGTAGGACTGTTTGAAGGGGACAAAATCTGCTCACCACAGAGAAGACGAAGGGGCCTTAAGTACAAAATGCCCAGGTCACAAGTTGTGCCAGTAAAGGGTTCTGGGATAACTGTGAGGCAAAGGCCCAAAGGACCCCGCTCTGCTCACTAGAGAGAGGCCAAGGCCCCCACCAGCCCCAGAGCTTTCTCCCCTGAGCAGGATTTGCCCACACTTCCCAAGTGGTGTCTGGGGTGGAGAAGGTAAGCCTCCAGGCCCAGGTGCCCCAAAACAAAGGCAGCCCGGGGAAGCTAGTGTCTCCCTACCTGCATGCTCCCAGGCACCCGTGCACCCATGCACCAGCATGGGCCGGAGCCCCACCCGTGGCCACATCAGAGGCCGACGCACAGGCCCGTTTACTGTGGGAGCCGGCAGGAAACAGCATCTCCACGGCTGCACACCAACCGTGCAGGCCGCCTCTGGCTGTGGGGCCAAAGGCCTGAACACACCACACGATACACTCTCCCAGGACAGGGTTCCCTTCCCCGCCCCTCCACACCAAGCCCACCCGACTCGGGGAGAAGGTCCTCAACACAATCCCCCAAACTAGGCTACAGATCTTCCCAGGAGCTAAGGCAATGACTGAGGGAAGATGAGGCTGTGGGGCAATGGGGTAGGGATGGAGGGCAGAAGGAAGGAGAGGGAAGGGAGGTCTGGGGCTGGGGGCAGCAGGGAAGGGTGGAGAGAGGGGTGGGGGTGGAAAAGGGAGGAGGAATGGGAGGGGACGGCGACAGCAGCGGGGGTGGAGGCAGAAGACGACGGGGTCCTAGGCAGGGGACTGGAAATGGGAGGATGGGCAGACGAGACGTGGAAGAGGGGATGGGATAGGCAATGAGAGGAGAGAGAAGAGGAGGGACGCGGCCATGGGGGGCGCTGAGCACTAGGCGGGGCCTGGGATGCGGAGGGTCTGAGTGCACGATGAGGTGAGGAGTGGGGTTCTGGGGCGCAGGAAAGGAAGGCGCCGCCCATCCCACCACCCTCCCCTACCCCCCACCGCGGGCACGCACACAGCCGGCCTCTCACCCACTCGCCCGCCCGGAGCCGCGCAGGCCCGCGGAAGCGCTGCTCCTGCGGCCGCCACAGGTGCCCGGCGCAGCGGCCCAAGATGGAGCCGGAGCCGGAGTCGGCCCGGGCCGAAGACGCCACCCGCCGCCGCCCGCCTGGCCCGCGGAACCAGCGTCGGGGTGGCGCCCTGGGGCGGCTAGGGGACCCGGGAGGAGGGGCGGAGGGGGGGGCGGCGGTCCTGCTCACCTGGGCCCGCCCCCGCGCTTCAACGCCCGCGTAGGCGTCCCGGCCCCGCCCCCTGCCCGCGGCCACGCCCCCGGACACGATCCACCCCGCCCCCACGGCCCCTCCGCTCCCCGCACTGCCCCTAGCCCACTGCGCCGGAGCCCCACCCCTCTGTCCACGAGCCCCAGGTCCTCCCTCCCGTGCTCAGGACATGTCCCCACTGTCCCGTCTCTGCGGCCCCGCCCCCACCACGATCCCTTGTTTCACCGGGCTGCCCAAAAACCCCCCAAGATACCCATCTTCCCGACCTGCCCCCACCCCCCGAGTCTTACAGGCTTGGCTCCCCACAGCCCTCCAGCCCCCGACCCAGCCCCCAAGTACACTTCCTCATTGCCTCGCCCCCTCGATCTCTGTTTACCTTCACCACACCCCTCACCGAAGTCCACGGGTCCTCCGTCGACCCCCTTCCTCACGGCCCCGCCCCGTGTCCTTCGTCATCCTGGCCCCGCCCTTCACAAGTTTCCGGCCTCCGACCCCACCTTCGAGGCCCCATTGCTCCAGGGCCACCCACCCTCGGATACCAAGCCGGGTCCCCCATCGTGCCGCCGCTATGCACCCCGTTCTCCAAGACTGAACTCCACAGTCCCATCCTCCCAGATCCACATTCGCGGACTCCAAGACTGACCCCGGTCTTTTGAGCTCCGCCTGCACGGCCCCTCCACGCAGCCAGCCTTGTCCCCAGAGCCCTCTGCCCAGCTCCCAGAAGCCCAGCCTGGTAGACTCCGTTTCCAGAATTGCGTCCCTGGCCCCGTCCCCCAAGCCTGTATTTTCCCACCCTTTTCTCCCCGCCCGTGTCCCCATCCCCACCTTTGCCCCCCAATCCAACCTCACTCCAGGCATTCAGTCGCCAGCCCGGCCGCCATGGACCCCAACAGCTGGCATGTGCAATGACCGTGAGTGAGAAGGTGAGTCAACCCCACCCAAGCCCACACCCCATCTTGCCGCTTCCTCTAGCTGGCATTATGCCCTCCCACCGTCCCTCCCTCCCTCCCTCCCTCCCAGCCTCTCTGCCCCGCTCCAGAAAGCATCCAGGCCCTGGGAACACCTGGCTTTGCCTCCGTTCCCTCTATGTCCCCCAGTATCTGGCCGAGCTTGGGGTTCACAGACTCACAACAGGTAGCCCCCCACACAGGCCTGCCCATGACACCTTCTGCTCTTGAGCGGTTCCTGCCACCCACCCCCAGAGCCACACAGTAAGAAGAGTGTGACCTGTCTCAGGGCCCCAGTCTCTGAGAATTGGGTCCCAATGTTGTGTCCAACTCCAGGAACTCCTGATTTGCTTGCCCAACCTCTTGCTGAGGGGGTCTGCATCCCTTTGGTCCATTGCCCCCAGAAGCCAATGCCTTTCTGCTCCCCCTCCAGTTTGGGAAGACCCCGGACCCCAGCCTCACCTTTCCAGCCTCTCCCAGCCCTGCTCTGAGGCCAGAGCATCAGGAGAGAGTCAGCAGCCCCTCAGCCCCTGGATTGAGGTGGAGAGTAGAAAGCCGAGGCAGGAAGGTGCACCATTCACTACCCTTCCCCCAGCCCCTAGCCTGGCACCTAGTCCAGAACAGGGGTGTGCAGCTCTATGCAACAGGTGTGGCTGGTACCTCACACCCAGCTGCCCCCACCCCACGCCACCCCGGGTATATTCCCTGCATGCGGGACCCCTCCCAGCCTCAGTATCCCTGTCTGTAGTTCTGAACTGCCCCTCATCAGATTATTTCATGGACCAAAGGAGACAATGATACCACCCTGTCACACACAGCCTTTGGGCCCACAGGTCATACCCTCACACTTTTCCACCTGGCTTTTAACGCAAGCATCCTTGCCTCCCCAGGCTCCTCCTCTCTGACCTGGAATCCTGCTGCTTAGGGCCTGGCTGGAAGCCTTGGCCCTACCTCCTCTGCTCCTCTCACCACGGTCAGTTACAGCTTCCAGTCCGGGCTCACTCACTGGTGGAGTCGGTGACATTCTGCTCAGGAAGACTCAGACTGCCCTAAGCGCCCCTTTCCAGTGGGGTCTTAGAGCATTGACCCAGAGTCTCGCACAGAGCTATGGAGGGGGCAGGAAGCACTGAGGGGTAACAGGAATGTCCAAGTGGAGGCCCCAGGCCCTGTCCTCCCACCACACACAGATGGGCAGAGGGATCTTGCCCAAAGGAGGCAAATGGGAGATTTGTTTGGTGAGGTCACCAACCCGCTCCTGCTCCCGCCTAGCAATTAGGGCACCTCCTTTCATATCTCAGGAATCTTACTCATATTCCCCATTTAGGGAAATAAGCTGAGCCCCAAGAAGGGATGAGCTGCCTGGGGTTACACTGAGAATTGGTGCCAGTCCCTGGGACTTCCTGCTCCCTGGTTATATGAGAGCCATCTGAGAACCTCAAGACGGATGTTTCAGGGAGGTGGCTCGGAGTTGGGTGTCCATCTGCAGATGCAACCTGGCTGGACCTGCCACCGGGGTCTCTGAGAATCACCCTGGCCTTGGCATCTTGGCCAGCTGGTCCTCTTCTCCCAATTGTGGCTTGGCCAAGAAGCTTCTCTGGCTGCGGTGGCTGCCCAGGGAGAGTCAGCCATGAATTGCAATCCTAACCGCCCCCACATATTTACTTGCTCTGCGATCCCACACCCAGGCAAAACTGTTCACCTTTCTGGGCATCGGTTTCCTCATCTGCACAGTGACAGTAATTGTACCTCCTCCCAGGGTTGTGGGAGAGACAGGGTTTGTGAAAGTATTCTGCAGAATGCTCTTGCTGTCGTCAATATTTATCAAGCTCCTCCTGTGTCAGGTTCAGGAGATAAAAAGCCAGGACTGCATGGTGTGGAACAGGAGTGGGGTTTGTTGACTGCTTTAGTAGAGAGGGGAGGCTCTGGTTTAGGACCCCATGGGCCAAGTGCCATTTCCTGAGACTTGGAATCTGGCAGAAAAGAAGCAAGTATGGCGTACTCAGGAGTTCTGTGGGGGTATGGGCGACACCAGGTGGAGAGGCGAGTTGCACATGAGGAACTGGAGTCTCCCAGAAGGTCTGGGCATCATGGGCACAGGGGTCCCTGAAGCCACAGGAGTGGGTAAGGTCTTCAGGAAGAGTGTAGCAAGAGCACCTAGGACCCAGCTATGAGTAACCAAGTAGCAAAGAACTGAGAAGCAGCAGCCAGAAAGGAAAGAGGGAAACTGGGACACTGCTGTGACATGGGGCACTTAGAGCAAGCAGCTTCAGCAAGGTGCTGGAGGCAGAACCCAAGGAGTGCACTGAGGGAGGAGTCAGAGGGGAAAACTCTTTTCAGCAGAGCCATAAAAGGGAGAAGAAAAGAAAGGTATTACCTGGGAAGGGATATGGGGTCATGAGAGAGATTTGGGGGACTTCGTTATGGTTTTTTTTTTCTGGTTTGCTTTTTAATACGCTGCATCATGGAATAGGATTCCTTGATTCCAAGCAACACGGAACAACTCAGGCTAAGTTGGACACAAAGGGAAGGTGTTGGGAGACTGCAGGGAGCTCAGAATGGAATCTAATGTGGAGAGCTAGCCTTGGTCCTTTAGGATGGGAGCCAAGTGACTCCAGACCTCAACAACAGGAGCCACGCCACAGTCTTGCCCTGTCATCGCCACAGAAGGAAGGATTCTGGTTGTTTGTCCTTTGCCTCTCAGCTCAAGATTCAAAGTCTCAGGGAAGCAGGAGCTCTTTTGGGCGAGCCATGGCCATATGCCTTCTATCCTTGGACGATAGAGGAATACCTGTCTGAGTGTATCTCTAGGAGTACCTGCAGCCTACCAGGATATTTTCCCCCAGACAGCGCAATGGAGTCCAGGTCCCCAGACAGACCCACTGCACGTTGTAACAAACTGAGCACGCTTGACAGTGGGGGGGGGGGGGGGGGCCAAGGTGGTGATGGTAAAGGAGCCATAAAGAGGGAGCAGATGAAGAGGTGGAAAGAGTGGGAGCCGCTGCTGGTATAAGGTCTCTATGTAACCGGAAAGCAAGCAGAAATGACAGGGGTAGTACCTAGGTAGGTTACTAGGCTTGGAAATCTAAGTTTGATGGTTTCCATCTTCTCTGTGAAAGAACAGGCAAGCTCTTGTTCTGAGACAGAAAGGGGAAGATGGAAGATCGGAAGGGGTGAGAAGAGCAGAGGAGGTATGAAATAGAGATTGCAGAGGGGGGACGAGCCTCTGTGGGTCAAAGAAAGCAGTAGAAGATTGCCAGGCAATACTGGGGCCCAAGCAAGATTCGTGACTAGCACTAATATCCCCCAGAAAGAATCATCAAAGAAAAACAAATTCTAATCAGGACTCACAGTTGTAAGGGTGAAAAAGGGAGTCGAAGACCACAGCATTTTGGAAGCTGGTGGCCAGAAGGATACAGCTGAGCCAGCTGGCCCTTCTGCCATCAGTGGTGGAGACGTTGGCTTACCAAGAGTCAGCTGAGTTCATATCCAAGTTACTCCAACTGTACATGCTGTCATTATGCAATTACATAAATAATTAAATCTAATTCAATTAAATAGCACATGAATGGATGGACTATGCATAGAAGAAGAAAGTTCTGTTCCTATGAAAACTAGGTTAAATGCTTTGGAAAGTGAGTCACAAAAACTGCTGTCAGTCGAGTGTGGGAAGGGCAACTTGAAACAGAACAGGAGGAAAACCATAACAATCTAGAAAATTCTTGAATCGGATTGCTTCCCAGGTGTCTTGAAGTTGACTGACTTGCCTATGAACCAATCATTTATTAGACCTGAACGCTGGATAAGAGGGCTAATCCTGTATAGTTTAGGCAAATAAGAGAATTTTTTGAATACAGCTTCAGGCAATTGCTGAAGTCAAAGACTCAAATGATGTGGGCAGGGCCCTCCATCACCTACTCCTTCCCCCTGATTCCCT